ATTTTGAAACAGTTTTAGCTGACTATCTATGTGAGGTAACTTCAGGGGCGGATCCAGGATCTTCCGAAGGGTGGAAGGGCGTGATTTTTTTAAACCTGTAGGGGAAGTTTTGTCGTGATACACCAACGTGCGAAGCCACGGCGTGGGGTTCGGGGCCGACTTATGGTCCCAAAATTGTGAACTCTAGAAGCTCTTTGGTGCATTTTAGAGCAAATCTTGGGATCTTTGAGGTAGATTTTTCCTCAAAATTCAGAGGAGATAGATAACATTTTTTTTTAAATAAAAATATAATAAACATTTCACAAACATAACAATTTTCTGAACTGGAAAAGTTCGGATGAAAAGTAAGTTTCAGATTAAAACAAATTAAGCAAAAAAAAACAAAATTCTGCTTCCTATTACATGACCTTCCAAAAATTAGGGTCGTTAGGTCGGAATTTATTTTTATTTCGTCAAAAAAATATTTTGTGCTGATTGAAATAATGGAGCATACCAAGGAATCATGCATAATTTGTGCCTTAATAATGTTCATTCGCACCACAAAAGCAATCGAGACTGTCCATCAAAAGTGATAAAAACTTGCCTCACCTAATATGAAAAACATATATTTAAGGTGGATGATTCTTAAAAATAATGGAGAATTTAAGTCCTCCACCCCACTATGCTCAACGTTAGTCACCGTCAGCCGCCAGCCAGCAGTGGCCGTACATCGCCTCGCGCACACGGCTCACTGTCAGTGTGCATACCTGCACTGTGTATTTTTAGCGGACTTGGCAACGAACCCACGTGCTGTGGCCAAACATTTTTTTCAGAAACACGCAAACGGTGTATCAAGTACGTATGAGCGGAACAATCTCGTTATAAATATGTTTTAATGGAAAATACATACACAGAAAAGAGAGATCACCTTCTGGGAATAAATTGGAATAAATTCTCTTTCTCCATCGATGTTTATTAATTATTTGGTTCTGTCACGTTATGTGGGTCGTTGTCAGTGGTTCCGGTCCTACATTATAGCTTTGATTCTGTAAGCACACGGTGGGAACCAGTGAATAGCGATGGCACTACACTGCACTGCCATGCTATGCCGCACGGAACATCGTATACGCGTACAGCGGCATGGCTTTGGGGCATTTTGATCACAAATGCATCAAAAGTTTAGGCTTTTTCGTCAAGATTTAGCATGTCAAGATGAAATAATTTTTTTAACGATTTTAGTGCCATATGTAATGCCAGCGTATCGGGCCGATACGCACGCATAACCCAATATGAGTCTATACATGGCTTTAACTCAAACTCTAGTTTTCTTACACACGGAGTACCCCAAGGCTCAATTTGAGGACCTTTGCTTTTTATAATATATAGTAATGATTTTACAAAGTCTTCTAACTTGCTCTCCTTTATATTGTTTGCTGATGACTCTAATTTATTCTTTTCCCATAGCAACCTCAATTACCTCACTGACACTGTTAACACCGAACTTATATCTGTTTCGAGTTGGTTCAGACTTAATAAATTATCCTTAAATATTTCCAAAACTAGCTTCATGTTGTTTAGTAACTCTGTCAGTGAACTACCCTGTAATATTATGATTGATGATTCTGTGATTATCAAAACTGATTGTTGTAAATGTTTGGGTTTGTTTATTGACTCAGGGCTAACATGGAAAAATCATGTTGATCATTTATGTAAAATCATTGCAAGAAACGTAGGTGTATTAACAAAATTAAGCATTTTTCACCAGTAAACGTTTTGGAATCTCTTTATAACACCCTAATTGTCTCTCATCTTAACTATGGTTTACTTGCTTGGGGTAGTAGTTCTGCTACAAGACTACTTCTATAACAGAAAAGAGCCTTGCGTGTAATTAATTTTGCCGACTTCTATGAACACACATATCCCCTTTTTATAAAACATAAAACTTTAAAACGTAATGATATGTATAACGTTCAGCTTGGGTCTTTAATGTATCAATCTTCTCGCAATACTTTACCATCTTCCATTAATAGTATTTTTAGCCAGAAAAGTGAATTTCATTCTCATTGGACTCGCCAAGCTTCTAATTTTTATATTCCATTTAGTCGTACCTCTCTTGCTCAAAATACTGTTAATAACAAGGGACCCAAGCTGTGGAATTCGTTCTCTACACAACTCCAAGCTTCTACCAATCTAATAATAATAATAATAATAATTTGGGAGGCTAATCATCCTTACTCGCAGCTGGGATGCTGAATTGCGAAGGACGTGGCTACAACGTGGTCGGGCCGCTGGCACGTAAAGGCGCCTATGGCGACCCATATAAGACCACGGAGCACAGCCTGAGATCGAAAGTGTTTGATTTTTCCGGAGGGAGGAAAACCGGAGGGCCCGGAGAAAAACCCTCGTGGCACAGGAGAGAACCAACGCACAACTCTACTCACATGCGATCCGCGGCCAGGATTCGAACCGTGGTCACCTTGGTGAGAGGCGAGCGCTTTACGCACAAGCCACCCGTGCCACCTTTTAAACGTCTTTCCACTTTTAAACGCCTATTAAAATCAGTCTTAATTCAAACTTGTTATTAATTTATGCCAGTAGATATATGTTGTTACATGTAGATTGTAGAATATCCATTATTGTATTGCTCATTGCTGACCTGACTAGTTAAAATGATCTGTATTGTATTGTTTGTTTGTCCGTTGTTTACGTCTGAATGTGTATTGTGTTTAGGTATGTTGCTTTTCTATGTAATTACTTTAAATACAGCATGCTCATTGAGCCCTACCTCGTTTGACTGACCATTTAATAGTGTTCATTGTAAGTTACTTCCTTTCCCTTGGTTTGGGCTCAATGAGCATGCCTGTCTGGGGCCCATGCTTAAAAGCTCTACTTCTTAATGGGCCCCTCTGCAGTGTCTCTAAAATATCAGTTTTGTTGTATTATTTGTAATTCTTTTCTGCTATGCAATTATTTTATGTCATTTATAGATTTGACGCTGTGGAAATAAATAAACCTTGAACCTTGAACCACGTTTGTACGTGGGGAGAACATCTTGTTGTTTTATCTGAAGGAAAGGGGGCGTGCGCCCTCAACTCCCCCCCCCCCCCCGCTGGATCCGCCCCTGACCTTACAATTCTGTCACAGGTACAATGTAAAAGCCACCTCAAATAACTGCGTCATGCCATAATTTGTTGAGCAATCCACAGACTTACGCACTGAGAAACTTTCTTAAAATTGTCGTGACTGAAATGTTGCGCAACGTACACTATAAATAGTGGCCCGAGTGTTCTTTGTCATCGCATAAGGTTACATGAAATCGGCTGCAGGAATGAGATTGTCAAATAAAAAAGTCTGAAAATTGAAAGGTGTGAAAGATGCGTATCTGTCTATGCATTTTCATGAAGGACCAAATATAACTGTGTGAACTTGAATTATACTGGGTTAGTCAAAAAAAAAGTGACCTGGATTAATGATTTTGTATCTTAAAACCTATGTAATTTGACACACTAATGAAGTACGTTTTAAAAGAGCATTTTTTTTAAATAAAAAAGACAAAGGCAAAAGTAATGCACAAGCCAAAATGACAAAACATAATGAAAAAATTGCTACACTGCAATTAAGTAAGATCGATTGATAAAATTGATAAAATTGACCTTAAAAGATGACACAGCCACCAGGAATAAGATATTGCACGAAGTACACAATAGACCCAGACATAGTATGATAGTGCATAAAGCACACTAGACCCAGACATATTATGAAGATCAAGAATTTAATAAGCATGGTCTTGTATACTCATCTGAAAAGGTGGGTATATTAAAATAGCTTTAAAAAAATAGCAATTGTGAAGTTACAGGCCCCGTACCACACTCATTACAATGTTAGTGACGTTTAAAATAATAATATGACATGTTTGCTTAAAAAAAACTGTGATAAAAATCACACAACGTAACGTGAAAAGATGGTTATCGGCGCAATGTACTGTGAAAAAGCAGAACCGCGTTCATGTCGCTACGCAATGCATTAGCTGAAAATGCGTAGAAAAATGTCTAGTGGATATTATGCCGGATCCGGTTTTCTGGGTGCACTCCAGTAAATAGGCCAAATATCCGTCCGCCGAGCTCATGAATACAAGTTATACACTCAAATTCGTCTATATTAGAGAGTTCTGAGAGCCATGGAATGGGGAGATTGAAGAAATATGGCAATACACCTCTGGCCCGGACTTTTTTTAGCCATGTTGTGGAGGGATCCCTTTTTGAGATGGCTTCTTTTTCACTTTGGGAAATATCACTAATTTTAGGGGTCGTCTTCTTTGGATGAGAATGTCTCGAAAAGTCATCGGTCAACCCAACAAAAATTAAAAATAAAATGAAATTTGACATGTTCATTATCATTTTTCTGTGCAGCGTGAAAACATGCGAGAGTTTTGAGTATTTTTAAAAGAATTTTGAAGTATGGGCATTTACACTGTTGTCTATTGGACATTTATTTGATTGGGTGCACCCCTATACGATGTTAAGCCGGGTGATCTTACAGCGCCCTCCTTGACGCATAATTATAGACGAAGACTTTTCTGCAACTATGCAAAAAAGCAAAAACCAAAAAAAGCCAAAAAAATGGGAAGAAAAACAATGGCTTTTCAGTTGACGGCGGGAAAGCCAATCTGCAAAGTTGGCGGAAAAGCCTGAATACGAAAAGTTATTGCATTTTAAGAAGTTCGAATCATGGGAAAAACTCCATTGCACGGTCCTTTAAATGTCTATTTGATAAGATGAAGCTCGACTTTAATTCTGATATAGAGACTAACACTATAGTTACGTGGCCTCCTAATTTGCATACGGATCGCAAAACGTCAGCAAACAGATCATTTTAGAAATCTGGTTTTGCAATGAAATGATTGCAATAAAAAAACTCAAGTTAGTAATTTGGCACAACCACCACATTTCTGAGATTTCCCTGTAAGACATCATGCTATAGTTGCACTTTTAACAGATTAATTTTGGAGTAGAATTACTTACCTCGTTTACCACGGCACTGGGCTCTGAAAGACGCGAAAGCCTTGTTACGAAGTGCGGTCAGATCATCGCCGGGTGCAGCCTGGACCATGGCACTACACGTGTTCCCTCGTACAGGTAGAATAAAGAAGGAACTAAAAAGCCCCAGAGTCCAACTGAAGACCCACATTTTACGCGGGTTTTTCATGACCAGCCAGCAGGTCTTCACTTTGATATCTGCGATCAAAACGGGCAGAGCACCACTCCCTGGCACGATGAGCCTAATGTTTGGGATATCGCTTGCTGTCGTCACATAGTTTCCACGGTAACCGTAACAATGGATATTGTTTGGAGTTGGTTCATCGACGATCATGACAGAGCGAAACCCAATGTCATGTGACGCTCGTTTTTTTAATTTATTTATTGTTTTCCCCGGAAGAAATATGTTATTCAACCTCAAAGCAACTTCTCAGCTATACAGAAACTACTTAAGAAACCAAAGCAATGCCGCAAAATGTCTTGACCTATAATACATTTGGAATACAGAGTTAGTTTTGACACAGTACTTCAAAGGAGTCTCATTTTGTATAACATTTTGCAGTAGATCCATTTGTAATCGAGATGTACTTTTCCAAACTAAAATAACGTTTTAAATCAAGATTCAATAGTGCAAGGGATGATCTGCTATCGTTCATCTTCATCTTATAAATGTGAAAACGACACAAAATAAGGATCAGGTTGAGAGCAATCCACGATATTTTTTTAAACTTATGCCGAAAAGTATAGCCTCATCGTCTAAGTGTATGTTTAAATTAAGAGTCCTCTCAAACCAATCATTAACCTGGGTCCAAACACAGATGAAATCTCACACCTACAAAATAGATGAACAAGCGTTTCGCACTCTAAGATATAGAATATCTATGTAACGAACCGGATAGGGCGCTTGCGCGCTATGCACGTCAAGTCACGTACAAACATGCGTACGAACATTTTTTTCTTGCGCGATGCCTGTACGATATGGATTACGGTAGCCTCGTTTTTCGCCCGGTTGTAAAGGGACGAAAGAGGTACGTGCATTTAATATAAATCCTTGCTAAATAACGCAACGTCGAAAAAATTGTGTTGGAAAGGATTGATTCTTCAAAAAACCAACTTTGAACATTTTAAACATGGCGTCGCGCGTTAGATACATCGACTGCAGTCCTAGTTTAAATGTGCCAATTTTTGACACATTTAAATGAGACAATTCCAGTGGTTAAGATCGCGCAAGGCATGATGGTAAACAACATGGCGCAGCAAGATCGTACCCATGGAAACGAGGTTGCCCAGCAGGCTTCACTTTGTAATTCTACACAGCCTATGATTGCACACCAGTAAATAGGCCAAATATCCGTCCGCCGAGCTCACGAATAAAAGTTGTACCCTCAAAATATTCTATATTAGATCTAGAGAGATCTAGATCTAGATCTGAGAGCCATGTAATTGGGGAATTGAAGAGATATGGCAATGCACCTCTTGCCCGGACTTGGGGCTTCCAATTCTGAGACTTGTGGATGCAATTGGGCCCGAAAGTGGCGCTATTTAGCCATGTTGTAAAGGGATCGTTTTTCAAGCCGTACTAAAGCTGTACTGAATTTCGAGTTTTCCATTTGTTTGTGCACAAACGTGGATCCGCCCATCAGGCTTCACTTTGTACAGCGAGTTAGCACTGTAGTAATTCAATATAGCTCTATGTATTCTATTATATAGACTAATCCGGCAACAGCCATTTTTTTCTGGTGGCACCAGGCTCGCGCGAGGCGCGTAAATGCGAGCTGCTTTCATTTATAATGCAGCAATTCCGAGGAAATGCACAAAAGGAGGCCCAACGATTAACCGCCTGCTCCCTGCCTTGTGTGGGCTCCAAAATGTCAACTGGAGCCCCGATGACAAGAAATTAATGAACTTCCATCCACCATTACTATTGTATAGTTTCACTGATGCGTGAAGCCAGCAGACACAAGTCCAAAGCGGCTTATACTCCCCGTACTGTTTTTCAGCACAGAGTACGCGTAACCCTTGATGTAACCCGTCTGAAACGCACCCACAATGGCGATTTCTAGTCAAGATGAGGAGGGGACACCGGCGTCGCCAGGTTAATATAATGGGGGGGGGGGTTAAGGCATCATAGATTGAACATTTCTGGGTCTTAAAAATCGTTTTGTCAAGACTAATATTAACAAACTTAACAAGCTTCAGTTCTTATGTTACCTTTCCTTCCCTAAATGTCGCTCCTTCCGTCAAGCAACTTTACCTTCGAAAATCAGAAAATAATGTTCATCAAGGTATGGTCTATAATATAACAGTACGAACATGATTGTTCATTTTGTTCATGAGTTATGAATTAATAAATCTTGTCATATTTAAACTAAACTTGCTTGTAATTTGATACCTATGACGTCATCATGACGTCACTTCTGTCTCAGGCCGGTTCATACTCAATGCGAATGCAAACGCAAATTGGTCATGGCAAACGTTCGCGCTGCGATTTCGCAAAAGGTGAGCCTATTTGAACTCCGGCGAATTTTGCCGCGAACGTTTCATGACTCCAATTTCGCATTTGCATTCGTGGTCGGTTCATACTTCATGCGATGCGAATTTGACGTCACGAAGCATTCGCTACGAAATTAGCCGGAGTTGAAATGTGCTTTTAAATTGCCCTGACGTCACAAATTCGCTATCGCGTTCGCTTTTCCTGCCGAGTATGAACCGGCCTTAAACCGGCCTCAACATCACATCGGTTATTTTATCCCGACTGACCTTTGATCTAGACTACTTCGTCGAAATACCAAAGTGCTTTACTGAGGTTATTCGAAATACTTTTTTTAGCAATATTTTCCATCAACATGTATTATTTTATAATGATTGTGTACCTGAATGCAAACTTCAAGACCGGTAGAATCGGGTTAACAAGAGAGTAACTGAGACTTTGTGTGTAAAATTAACTAATTGAACGTAAAGACAAGGCTTTCGTGCCCAGATATTAAGGCTAGACTCGAAAGTCACAAGAAGCAGTAATATTTGAAAGAAGTAGCAATATTCAATCGGCATGAGACAGTGAAGTACTGAAAAGGGGGTAAGACAATCGTTTCTTAATGAATATGAAGACAAACATTTGCTAAATGCCTTTTGGTGTATGAAGCATCCTAGAAAGACATCCCTTTTCGAAAATAAGACAAACATCTTACATAAAAATCGAAATAGTGGGCCTTGATCACAACAATTTGTTATTAGTATCATTGAACGGTTCGTTGTCATTACCTTTCTGGTAATTTTTCTGTCGTAAATTGAATCATAAAATGAGCTTTGTTCATTTATAATTCAGTAACTCCGGAAAAATACAACAAAGAAGCACAACCATTAATTGCTAGCTTTCTGCCTCGTCTTCTCGCCCAACATATGGTCAATTAGGCATAATAAATTAGACTTAAATTATTAAGTTCAGTTATTCATTGTATTTCAGTTGTATAGTTCGCTGAAGCGCAAAGCACAGAGTACGCATAACCCTCGGTGTAATCCGTCTGTGATACGCACCAATGGCGGCGATTTCCAGTCAGGATTTGGAGAGAAATTGGTGTCAACAGATGAATCTCCAAGGGGAAGGCGAGGGGGCCGGGGGGTGATTGCCATGTAGGCACATAAACTGAACATTCAAGTCCTGGGAGTTTTTAGACTTTATTGTTTAAAAAGTGCACCAAACGCATCAAGCAATGGTTGGCACAAAGTGTTTCGTTTTTTTGTCCCCTATTTTTACTTGTTACATGATTTCCCCTCTGGAAAAAGGTAAGGGGTCTGGTTGACGGGGATAGACGAAGTTTACCCAAGTAGTGTCGAGCCCCATCACCATGCGTTTCTTGGGATTGCTTCAAGACATTTCATGCGAAGTAGCAACATGGAAAAGGCGCCGTCGTGAGCACCCTCATTTGGATTCGTTTCGCATTCGCATTCGTGTGAAGTATTATGGTCGGTTCATACTTCGTGCGATGCGAATTTGACGTCACGAAGCATTCGCTACGAAATTCGCCGGAGTTGAAATGTGCTCAACTTTTAAAACTGCCGTGATGTCACAAATTCGCTACCGCGTTGGCTTTTCGCGCCAAGTATGAACCGGCCCTAAATTAGCCTTTAGTCAAGTCCCACGCGCTTATACCCGGACCATCCGGGCACGTAACGCATCCCGGATGCTGGCACGTAAAAAGACAAGCACGAGCGGCGGAGCCGCGAGGGCCTTTACCATCTCGTGGAGAACGCTTATGTTTTTCTTTACATTTGTCTACCGATTTGGTAGACATGCATAATGCAAGTTGTGAATTGACCAATGAAAATGCAGAATTACTAACGTAAATCAGCCGTCGTCTGGCGCCAGACAGCACGCGCGCCCGGTGGCGCGCTTGCTGTTGCTGGTAACCGCAAACCACCGTTAGATGATTGGTTTATATTGCTTGACGCATATTACGTGAATAAATGAATAAGTGATTAGTTCCACGAGATAGTAAAGGCCCTCGCGGCTCTGCCGCTCGTGCTAGTCTTTTTTAATACGTGCCAGCATCCGGAGTGCGTCACGTGTCCGGGTAAGCGCGTGGGACTTGACTAAAGGCTAGCCTTAAACCGGCCTCGACATCACATCGGTTATTTTATCCCGACTGACCTTTGATCTAGACTACTTCATCGAAATACCGAAGTGCTTTACTGAGGTTAATCGAAATACTTTTTTTTAGCAATATTTCCCACCATCATGTATTATTGTATAATGATTGTGTACCTGAATGCAAACTTCAAGACCGGTAGAATCGGGTTAACAAGAGAGTAACTGAGACTTTGTGTGTAAAATGAACTCATTTAACGTAAAGACAAGGCTTTCGTGCCCAGATATTAAAGCTAGACTCGAAAGTCACAGGAAGCAGTAATATTTGAAAGAAGTATCAACATTCAATCGGCATGAGACAGTGAAGTACTGAACAGGGGGTAAGACAATCGTTGCTTAATGAATATGAAGACAAACATTTGCTAAATGCCTTTTGATGTATCCTAGAAAGGCATCCCTTTTCGAAAATAAGACAAACATCTTACATAAAAATCGAAATAGTGGGCCTTGATCACAACAATTTGTTATTAGTATCATAGAACGGTTCGTTGTCATTACCTTTCTGGTAATATTTCTGTCGTAAATTGAATCATAAAATGAGCTTTGTTCATTTATAATTCAGTAACACCGGAAAAATACAACAAAGAAGCACAACCATTAATTGCTAGCTTTCTGCCTCGTCTTCTCGCCCAACATATGGTGAATTGGGCATAATAAATTAGACTTAAATTATTAAGTTCAGTTATTCA